TCACCTCAGCCTCCCAAAGGCGCGGGATGACAGGCTGAGCCACCGAGCCCGGCTGGAATTGGTCTTTTTCATCACTGCTGTGTCCTCAGAGCCTTAAACTGCACCCGTCACCCAGTAGGAGCTCAATCACGAAACAGCTTTTGCTCAGCGAGCCAGCGCCTGCAGTCCTGGCCTCAACCAGCAGAGGGCGCGCGAAGGCCTATTTTACCACCGGCTGCAACTCCCTGGGTTCCCAGACCCGGCGGGCGGCGGGGTCTCCGGATCCCCCTGGGCATTCCGGGGAGCGGGAGGAGCCCCGAACGCTTACGGCCAGTGAGCTCGAAGAGCACGCGGTCATTGAGGCCCAGCCGCAGCTCTGGCATCCCCGACAGGAACACCTTGAGCTTGATGGTGCCCACGATCTCGCTCAGCAGGACGCTGCCGTTGGCACTGACCTGGGATGGGGGGAGGGGACACATGGGGGGATCCACAGGCGCAGCGCCCCCCCATTGCCCCGGAGGTGGCGGGGTCCGGTGGAGGCGCGGGGGCTCACCAGCAGGTTGACAGACTCTATGACGTCGATGAAGACCTCGTTCTTCTTGTACTTGATGCCCTCGGAGCGCCAGGACACGGCGTTGGTGACGGTGGGCGGCACCCGCGACTTGCCAGTCTCCAGCTTGTTGCCCTGCTGCGTGATGTACCTGGCGGGGGGCGGCGGGGACAAGCGGCTGGACCCGGGGACGCCTCCCCGGCCCTCCTGGAGTTCCCGTCCCCACGGCCCAGGCCGCGGCTGCCCCCAGGCCCCTCACTCTTGCAGGATCTTGCTGTCCGTGGTCTGCGGGAAGCCGAAGTCCATGAGCTCATCCAGTAACTCGTAGACAATGACAAAGTTGTCCCGGATGCTCTCTTCCTCCAGCTCCTTGAAGTATTCGCAGAATACCTGGGGGCAGGGGGAGACAGTCACCCACATGGCTGTGGCTGTGGCCGGGGGCTGGGTCTCTGCTCCTCCAGCGGCCATCCAAGGAGCAATTATGGAGCACCTACTGTATGCCTGTGCTGGCACCTTCGAGGTGAGCAAAGCAAACAGAGTCCCTGCCCTCATGGAAGAAGTGGACAGGAAAGCGGACCAATGTAATCGACCACGTTGCATGCAGTAACTATGGAAACACAAGCAACCCTAGGAACCCAGAAGCAGAGAGGTCTGGAGAAACTTCTGGAGGGAGGCATTAAAAGGGCTTGTAATCTTATTTATTTATTGTGGATCCCTGTGTGGCTGGTGCTTCTCTTTCTTTCTTTCTTTCCTTTCCATCTTTCCTTCCTTCCCTCCCTCCCTCCTTCCTTCCTAGATAGGGTCTGATGATATTGCCCAAGCTGACATCAAACTCCTGGGCTCAAGCAATCCTTCTACCTTGGCTTCCCAAAGTGTTGGGATTCCAGGCGTGAGCCACTGTGCCCAACTGTGGTGATGGCAAAAGAACCCCATTATACAGAAACATCCACGTTCATGGACATCCTGAGTGCTATCCAGTGGCCCATGGGGTCTGGGGGTCCCAGGTTAAGAGCCCCTGGGAAAGCCAGGCTCGGTGGCTCAGCCTGTAATCCTGCGCCTTTGGGAGGCTGAGGTGAGTGGATTGCCTGAGCCCGCGGGTTCGAGACCCGCCTGGGCAGGCAAGACCTCATCTCTACAATAAAATCAAAAAATTAGCTGGGTGTGGTAGCGCGCACCTGTAATTCCGGCTACTCAGAAGGCTGAGGCGGAAGGATCGCCGGAGCCCAGCAGGTCGAGGCTGCGGTGGCTGGGAGCGGCCGCTGCACTCCAGTCTGGGCGACGGAGTGAGACTCCAACTCAAAAAAAAAAAAAAAAAAGAGCCCCTGGGAATGAGTAATGGGAATGGCAGGGAAACTGCAGCCGGGTCTTTGTGGCTCGAGCCTCCACTCAAATGCCCCTCCTTTGGTGAAGCCTCCCTCCTGTGAGAATAGCACCCAAGTCAGGCGTTATGACAAGGTCCTGTTTCATCTTCAAAACGCCCTTGAACTCCACAGTAGATTGTATCCTTCCTTCATTACCATCGGGGAGTCAAGAGGGCTGGAACTTTGCCTGTCCAATTCATAGGCGTATCTCCCCCTTGCCTAGCAGACAGAAGACAAATCACTAAATGTTCTTTTATTTTCTTTGAGACAGAGTCTCACTCTGTTGCCCAAGCTGGAATACAGTGGTGCGATAATAGCTGACTACAGCCTTGACATCCTGGACTCAGGCGATCTGTCCGCCTCAGTCTCCCAAGTAGCTAGTACTAGCACTGTGCAGCACCATGCCTGGCTTTTATTTTATTTTATTTTATTTTTTTGGCAAAAAAAGAGAGAAAAGTTTATTTAAAAGTAAACTAAAGAGAGAGAGAGAGAAGGGAGAGAGAAGATTCACCTCCCCAAGGTGGGGGGGGGCAAAGCCAGGAAGCGTGGTGACAGCCATAACTCAATGAGCACATGGCCACACCAGAGTTTAGCAAGGCAATGGCTCCTGCATGCCTGGCTTTAAAACAACAACAAAAACAGAGGCAAGTCTCACTATGTCACCCAGACTGCTCTTGAATTCCTGGCCTCAAACTATTCTCCTACCTTGGCCTCCCAAAGTGAACTGGAATTATAGGTGTAAGCTACTGCACTCAGCCTCAAGAAATATTGCATGTTTGTTGGTTGGGTGCAGTGACTCAGCCTGTAATCCCAGCACTTTGGGAGGCTGAGGTGAATGGATTACTTGAGCCCAAGGGTTCAAGACCAGCCCGGGCAACTTGGTGAAACCTTGTCTCTACAAGAAAAAACCAGAAAAATTAGCTGGGCATGGTAGCATGCGCCCGTAGTTCTGGCTACTTGGAAGGCTGAGGCGGAAGGATTGCCAGAGCCCAGTGAGTCGACGCTGGGGTGGCCGTGAGCATGCCACTGACTCCAGCCTAGGTGATGGAATGAGACTCTAACTAAAAAAAAAAAAAAAAAAAATTATTGTTTGTTTGTTGAAATGTATTTACTGAGCACATTCTCAGACATTGACAATGGCATCTAATAAGTGCTTAATGCCGGGCTCGGTGGTTCAGCCTGTAATCCCGCACTTTTGGGAGGCTGAGGTGAGTGGATTGCCTGAACCCACGGATTCGAGACCCACCTGGGCAACTTGGCGAGACCTCATCTCTACAATAAATCAAAAATTAGCCGGGCGTGGTAGCGCGCGCCTGTAGTTCCAGCTACTTGGAAGGCTGAGGCAGAAGGATCGCCGGAGCCCAGCAGGTTGAGGCTGCGGTGGCCAGGAGTGGCCACTGCACTCCAGTCTGGGCGACAGAGTGAGACTCCAACTCAAAATAAATAAATAAATAAATAAGTGCTTAATAACTTGTTATTCTATATTTGTGTGGCCAGGCATGGTGGCTCATGCCTGTAATCCCAGTACTTTAGGAGGTCAAAGTGGGAGGATAGTCTGAGCCCAGGAGCTCGAGGCCAGCCTGGGCAACTTGGCAAGATGTCGTCTCTACAGTAAATTAAAAAATTAGCCGTACATGGTGGTATGCACCTGTAGTTCCAGCTACTTAGAATGCTGAGGTGGAAGGATCACCTGAGCCTATCAGGTCATGGCAGCGGTAGCCATGAGGGTGTCACTGCACTCCAGCCTGGGTGACAGAGTGAGATTCTGACTCAAAACACAAAAACAAAACTTTGTGGAAAAAAAGAAAAAATATATTTGTGTAATGCTAGCAATAATAGCAAACATTTGTCAAACACTTACTGCATTCTGAGCACTGTTTTAGGAGTTTTTTGTGGGTGTTTTTTTTTAAGTTGGAGTCTTACTGTATCGCCCAGGCTGGAGTGCAGTGACACACTCATGGCCACCCTAGTGTCGACCTGCTGGACTCCAGAAATTCTTCCACCTCAACTTTCCAATTAGTGAGAACTATAGGCACACGCTACCACGCCCAGCTAATTTTTGATTTTTATCATAGAGGTGAGTCTCGCCAAGTTGTCTGTGCTGGTCTTGAACCTGTGGGCTCAGGCAGTCTACTTACCTTGGCCTCCCAGAGTGCCGGGATTACAGGTTGAGCCACCAAGCCTGGCCAGCTTTTTGAGTCAGAGTTTCACTCTGTCACGCTGGCTGGAGTGCAGTGGCACGCTCACGGTGATCCTTCTACCTCAGCCTTCCAAGTAGCTGGAACTATAGATGTGCGCCGCCATGCTTAGCTAATTTTTTGATATATTGTAGAGACGAGGTCTCACCATGTTGCCCAGGCTGGTCTTGAACCCCTGGGCTCTGGCAATCCTCTCACCTCAGCCTCCCAAAGTGCTGGGATTATAGGCTTGAGCCACCACACCCAGCTGTTTCTAAGCTCTTTATAGATATTAATTTGACTGATTTGTACAACCCCGAGGCAGCATTTGTTGTAAACCCTGTGTAGAGACACAGAGAGGAGAAGGGACTTGTTCCAGATCACAAAGCCAGGATATGGGAGAGTGGGGATTGGACCCCAAGCCCTCTGGCTCGGATCTGAGCGGCATGATCGCTCAGAGACCTCCTTGGTCCCCACCCCATCAAGAGAGATCATCTCATAAGCAGTTGGTGAGACAGAGTGACAGGACTTTGATGGGGGAAGTGCAGGGACCCAGAGAGGGCCCCGAAGGTCAGGGAAGGCTTCCTAGGAGAAGTGGGTCCAGAAAGAGGAGGGCAAGACAGACAGGCCAGCCGGCCAATGAGAAGCCAGTACCTACCTCCACAGCCTTGTAGAGGAAAGAATATACCAGGGAGGCATTAGCGTTCTTCAGCGTGGTGGCCACCACTGGGGGCAGCAAGGTTAAGGAAAAAGTGCACTTTTGTGGGGTTTAAATGGAGGACACAACTGAGCCTCCAACCTGTCCCCTGACCCCATCCCTGTCTTTACCCTTGCCATCTCTCCACCCAGCCTGAACCACAGATATGCTGTGCAACTTTTTTTTTTTTTGAGTCAGGGTCCCACTCTGTCACCCAGACTGGAGTGCAGTGGCACCCTCATGATTACCGTAGCCCCGACCTGCTGGGCTCAAGTGATCCTCCCTTCTCAGCCTCCTGAGTAGCTGGGACTACAGGCAACACCACCCCCAACCAACCCCAGCTAATTTTTTAAACATTTTTTTTTTTTGTAGAGACACAATCTCGCTATGTTGTCCAGGCTGGTCTTGAACTCCTGGGCTCAAGCAGTCCTCTTGCCTCAGCCTCCCAAAGTGCTGGGATGACAGGCGTGAGCCTTCTGTGCACAGCCATACTGTGCAACTTCTATCCTGAGCTCACCCTCTCTGGGCCTGAGCTGCCACCACCCCTGGCCCCAAGGGAGCCCACATGGATACAGTAGAGGTTGCTGTGTTTGATCCACAGGAAGTGGACTCGGCCGTGGCTCAGCAGCGGGGCCAGGGCACCCTCCTCCTCCCGCTGCACCAGCAGGGGCATGAAGTATTCAATTTCGCTCATGGCCACATCGCCCTTGTAGTTGCGGCTGATCAAGGGCTGAGGATAGGTGGCAAGGACACAGTCAGCACCAGCAGCCCAGGAGTCCACCACCCTGGGGTACCAGAGTGCTCAGCCCCACTTCCTAGCAGAGAGAACTGCTCCAGGCTATACCACTCTGGATCTCAGGTTTCTCCTCTGTACAATGGGCGTGTAATGGCCACAGCTAAGGGGTCTAGGCCCACACAGGGCACCACGCTGCATCTACCAAACCAGTGGATGTCTGCTAACTTATCAGTTCTTGCCACAACCCTGTAAGGTAGGTGCTATCATCCTCTCCATTTTACAGCTGGAGAAGTTGAGGGTTTTTGTTTTTGTTTTTTGAGTTGGAGTCTCACTCTGTCTCCCAGATTGGAGTGCAGTGGCCGCTCCCGGCCACCGCAACTTCGACCTGCTGGGCTCCAGTGATCCTTCTGCCTCAGCCTTCCAAGTAGCTGGAACTACAGGTGCGTGCTACCACGCCCAGCTAATTTTTGATTTATTGTCTGC